AATTCATAGGGAAAGCCAAATAACCTCTAGATGGGCCAAGATTTTCTCTTTGTTTTTAATGTCCTTCCCCCAAGTAGTGAGAAGCCTTTTTCTATAGATCATACCATGGACATTTGAGGTGTAAAAGCATAAAGACTGTGTATATTGTGGTGGACTTTCCTTTTCCCTAATCTGAGAGCCTGGATCTGATGAAACAGTTCTGCTCTCTAGGCAGAGGTACCTGACTTGGGCCAAAATTGTTTCAGTTAAAGTAACTATGGCAGCCCCTACCTACCTGGTTTCACTTTCACTTTCTGTGGCAATCATGGATGAGTACCTGTGGATCATTAACAGGTAAAAGGATTAGCAGGGTTGATGGTAGTGGGTTTCTCAAACCAGACTTGAGAGTTGTGAGGCGAGCATGGTAACCACTACACTACAGAAACGTGAGAGTTGTGATAGTTTGAAAGAAGATGCCCCCCCCCATGGGGAATGGTACCATGAGGAGGTGTGACTTTGTTGGAGTAGGTGTGGCCTTGTTGGAGGGAGTGTTGGAGGAAGAGCTTTGAATTCTCTGTTCAAGCTGAGTTAGGTGTGGCACACAGTTGCTTCTTCTGCCTTCGGATCTCCAGCACCATGTCTGCCTGCATATTGCCACATTTCCCACCAAGAATGAACTAAATTTCTGAAATTGTAAAATATTCCTAATTAAATGTTTTCCTTTATAAAAGTTGCCTTGGTCACAGCAATAGGAACCCTAAGACAAGAGTGGACCAGGAATAGGGCCTGGTGTTCTGGGAAACCTCAGCAGTGTGGGGTGCTGTAAGTATAAGATCCTGACCCAGAGTTAACTTGTTTCATTAGACTAGCAGTAGCCACCACAACTTTTAGACAGGTGGGCCATCCTGTAGCTACAGGGTTCAATCCTTTGGACAGGTATGTCATAGGGCACTTCAATGGCCCCAAATTTTGGATTTAAAAAACCTATTTGTAATGTCTTTTCTTCATGGACAAACAGATAAAAAGGTTTTGAGATGTCTGGAAATGCTAGGGCAGGAGCCAAAGTCAGAGCTGCTTTTAAAGCCTCAAATACCTTTTGTTTAATCTCAGTTTAGATTAGGAGCTCAGTGTCCCTACCTCTTGTGCTGGTATATAGAGGCCTTACTATTTACACAAACCCTAACCACACCTAGGAACTTTTGAACCTATATGTTAGTCCTCGGAGCTGGTTTCTGAAGGATGGCAGCAATCCTACTCAGCGACAGCCTCCTTTTGCCTCCTCTCAGCTGATAGTCAAGATGGGTATCCTCTGATGTACACAGTCAGGCTTTCTTAGCTGACATTCTGTAGCCCAAGGTCTGTCACTCTTGCAACAGTCCCTCGGTGGCTCTTTTATAATTTATTTTAGCTTTAGAGGTTAGGAGGAGGCATGGTTAGAGTATACACTGTAAGAGTGTAGTCTCAGGAAACCTCTGATGGAAGAGAGGGAGGTCAGCATTTGGTGACTCATCAAACAAGGTTGAGAATTTTCAGATCTTTGGGGCAACCTCGTCCAGGTAAGTTGCCTGCTGTAACCATTGGGTCTGTCCATGTAAAAGCAAAGATGGGCTGACTCACCTTTGCCCTTGGGAGGCTGAGGAATGCATCCTTGAGGTGCAAGAATGGATACACCCATTTCTCTGGAAGAATCAGATTAATGAGAACCAGAGGTCCCAGGTTTCTTCACAGGCAGGAGAAGTATACTCCAGGGTAACCAGGAGGGCACCAGGATTCCTGTCTCTCTAAGCCTGCCAGTGTGAACCACAACTTCTCTTTGTTTCCAGAGTCATTGGGTATTGTTTAATCTTATGAGAGTAGCTGAACTGATTAGTTGAACAATTATAGGAACTGGGTGTTAGGACAGTCCCTGGGGTTGGTTTCTGCCCATACCCCTTGGAATCTTTATTGACAACCTTATCCTTTGATTGGGGGCAGGACTTTCAGCTAGAGGACATTCTTCTGACAAAGGGCAAGACACCAGGATTTTGCTGGGTATCTGTAAATCTGTGTCTTGTCTGTGATGGTGGCTTTCAGTTTATGCCAAATGTATCATCTCTCAATCAGTTCTTGGTTGTTAAACACCTTTGAGCTACCTTCAGCAACATTTTTAAACTTTTACATTAACTAATATGTAATAATTATACTAACTAATATCTGGGGCTGCCTGGGTGACAAAGGAAATTTTTTTCAGCAGCTGTCATTAATCCTTCTAAAAAGGACCTGGTGAACATTGTTTAAAATATCCTTGGTCTGTGTTGGACAGAAGGGAAAATGCACTCTATCCAGGCTGTGTTGTCCAGCAGTGACACCTGCTCCCCAGCCTGGGGCAGTTTTCCTATTTTTACTTTCAGAGAATGACGAATTTTTGGTTGAAATGGAAAAGTAAATCATGAAAGAGGAAAGAGTGGAGCTTTCCTTTGGACTGCTTAGAACAGGCTGGGGAGCAGAGGAAACCATTTCCCCTTCTCTGCATTCATTCTGCTTAGATAGCAGGGGCCTGGGTGAGTGGCCTGGTACTTCTACACAAGAGTCATGGGCAAGAGTTAAGGATGAAACAAACCAGTGAGTGCTCTGGGAATGGGACAGGTAGAGGCTTCAGGGTTTTTGTTTGTCTGTTTTGTTTTTAATTTTTGTTTTTTGGAATTTTTTGGTTTCTCTGGGTAATCTAGCAAAACCAAAAGGATTCAGGACCTCAAAAAGAAGCACAGTTCTCAAGTGGCTTGTGTGTGTGTGTGTGTGTGTGTGTGTGTGTGTGTGTGTGTGTGTTACACCAGAGAAAGCTGCTGGTTAATATGGGAAAATAGAACTGACAGTAACAATAGAAAGACAAAGACACACACACATACACAAACACAAAGGAGAGAGAGAGAGACAGAATGAGTAAAGACAACCAGGGTGGCCACTCATTCCTATGCTTGGACAGAAAAGAGGAATCCAGTGATGTCTCATATGAATCCTGGATTCATCCATATCTGACCTGTCCTATATGTACAAACAGAAGGTATCTTAACCAGACTTACTCCAGAGGTGTGAGGTGGAGGTGGAGGGGTAAAGGTGCAGCAGTAGCCAGCAATTGATCAAAGTGAGTCCTGGGGACCTGGAGCATCTCAGGTTGCGCACCCCTAGGAGTTCCCTGACCACTGCACTCTTCCCTACTCTTAGAGAGTCTGAGCCCCTCAAGGTCTGGTCTCTGGGGATTTCTGTGGGACCTCCAGAAATGTTGTGGGGTATCCACTAGAGATGACTCTTCAATAGAAAGTCTTTGTTAGCCAGCCAGCTAACTACACTGGGTGTTAGAACCCCAGTGTAGCACTGAGCTGTCTCAGGGTGAGCTTTTAAGCACAAAAACCATGTTCTGGATGACATACTTTGGTTAATAAGAATGGTTACCCAGAAGCAGAACTACATAATCAAAAAAAGCAAGGTTAGTACATTTATAGATTTACAGAAGTATGGACTTTGATGAATTAGGTTTTTGCTTTTGTTTTGGCAGATGGGTGATATCTATGTGCTTAATTTTGTGGCCTGAAATGGTACTTCCATCATGGAGTCAGTTGTGCTAAGGTCTGGGAGCCTGTTACACACTGACAAGCCATGTGTACAGGAAGGGCTCCCAGAACCTCATATAAGTGATTGAGTTGACTAACCCTTCTGCCTGGGGAAAGCTTAGGAAGGTTCATGCAACTGGGTGAGATAGAACCTGTTCTGCACACACAAACACTCCCTAGAGGCCCAGCTGGAATCAAATCAAGCTGGATAATGTTCTGCTGAGTGGACAAACCAAATGTGTCCCAATTTTCTAACCCAACTAACCCAGCTGAGGCCTTTGCACTGAAGGAGGTTCTGCATCAACATCTGAGTGCGGAGGCCAGGGGTCCCCAGGCCTGAAACCTCCCCTTGGTACAGCACAGATATTATCAGGGAAGGCTACTAGATTATTATCTCTCCCAGGAATTTTCATGGGTGGAAGTGGGGGTGGGGACCCTCTTACTTTAACCGCAGGGATCACAAGTGCTTGGTGTGATGGTTAAAAAACTCCATTTTGTGTGAAAGATAAGGTCTATCCAACCCTGACTCCTTGATCTACCCCCGACCCCATGTTGGTTTGGCTTCTGTAATGGGCTTATGCAGACATTCAATGACTATTTTGAAGTCACCTTGACCATCTAATCTTGGCAGAACAAGAAAGCTCCTGGGGTTTTACCCATTAAAAGATCTTCTTAACGGTGTCCGCTTCTGGACTGCACATCTCTGATTTGGGTTAGACACTGTATCCCTGCTAGCAGCCTTTCAAATTTTTGCTTGGAGCGGGTAGTGGTGGCATGCGTCTTTAATCCCAGCCTTGGGAAGGCAGAGGCAGGCAGTGAGTTCGAGGCCAGGCTGGCCCATAGAGCGAGTTCCAGGACATCCAGGGTTTTGTTGCACAGATAAACATTTTTTTGTTGTTGTTGTTGTTGGCTTAATTATAATTTGAATTTAAGTCTGGAGGTCTTTTCCTGTGGTCTCAAACTCAACAACTAACTGGCAGCAGTTCAGTCACAATGGACAGCAGCTTCCTCCCTTCTGATGCTGGTGCTGGTTATGAAATCGCAGCAAGAATCCTTACAACCACGTGCGAGGACGCCGCGGTGACAAAGTGTGTAAGACTGCATAAGGTCAGCTGCAGTCTGTAGCAACGTGTGTGGTCCTGGTTGGGCCAATTCCAATAAAGCTATGACATCTTCCACAGCCCAACACCCGGGCTCTGAATCCTCTGCCTCGCGCGGAGACTAGGGTCTTTGCCGGGCTTATCGGCTAGTTTGGAAACAGATTCTTCAGACGGTTCTTTGTTAGACCGTAGGACAGGGACCATCCTTGCGGAAGCTACACTGCATAAAGGCTTTTGAGCGCCCAGAGGCCACCGAGGCGTGGTCCTCCGGGGTCCAGAGCGTCCCGCAATCGGGGGGCGGGGCCTGCTGGAGGCAGAGTACTTCCGGCCGACGCGTGAGCGGTCTCCTCCCGCTCGCTCGCAAGGTGAGTGATCGCCCCTCCCAGTGGGTCCAACCCGGACCCTTCGTTTCATCTGCGCGGTTGTCTGCTTTCTTCCCCTGCCGAGACTTAAGTTAGCCCTGGCCCCGGCCTTTTGAGTGGTTTCAACATGGGGGTCCCCGCAGGGTAGTGCCAAGGCGTGCGCCCCGCGCATGCACCCACGTCTCCACCTTCTCACGGTGGGTGCTGCAGCTCCTCGCCCCATATGTTTCCTTTCTGTCCTTATCACTGTGGAAGAAAACCAGCCCCTCTCCTTGGGCTCCATTCGTTTACGGCAAATCAAGTTAAGGAAAAATCTCTCCCTTTTTAAAAATTTTCTCCAGTCATGTTGGCCTCGAACTTGCTATGTAAGCAAGGATGCCCTCGAACTTCTTGTTTCAGCTGCCTTCACCTCCCAAGTGTTGGGATTAGAGGCATGGTCCGACACACCCAGTTTCTGTGGTCCTGGGATTAATCATAAGGTTCAAGGCTTCAGGCATGCTAAGCAAGCATTCCACCAACCGAACCTCATCTCCAGCCTGGAAAGTGCTTTTGACATACATAACCTGTGGATAGTGCTGTGGGAAATCTGGGTTTGAGGATTGCAGCCTCAGAATCTTCGGAATCTGAGGAAAAGTTTTCCCTCTGGAAATGCATCCCTTCTTATTTTTCATGAAGTCACCCCCTTTAAAAATTAGATTTAGAGTTCTCTTGCCTCAAACTCCCAGAGCCAATGCCCTAGTTGTGGTACAGGAATATTCTCTGCAAGCTATGTTGGGAAGAACATTTAGGATACTCTCTTGAGAAGAGCTTTGGGGCCACTCTACCTTGTTAGTGATGATGCCAGGACTGATGAGGATTTCACACTGAATAGGAGGGTTTCCACAATAAATAGGCCCCTTGTAACATGGACCCTGCAACTCCCCAAGAGTTCACCTGCCTTTTCTTGGCAATCTTCTCTTGCTAAGTAGAAAAGCTAAGCATCATCTAGGGTTGCTCAGACGCTGGCATTGTGCTCTCCTCCAACAATATTCTCCATTCCCTTATCTACCTTGGTTTTCATTTTCCTTGGGTCCCAGGTGTGCACTCCTTGAGCAGGTCTCAGGAAGATGGCAACCTTAGAGGACACTGAGGAGTCCACTCCTGTCTTGTCACCCAGCAGTCTCTCATCACCAGGGCCAGCTGGAGACCATCACCATGTGGCACAGCTGCACCTCCACGGGCATTCTCACGGTATTTGCCCCAGACTACTATGCCCCTCTACCCCTTTTCTACCCCATGAGGCTGGTTCGAACTGTCTTGACCAACTGAGGAAGGGAGGGGGCACTTGGGTAGATCATTCTGCAGTGAGGCCTCTGGAAAAAAATCCTGAGAGATGAGGGAGTGATGGAAGGCAGCAATGGTTGAGACCATTCTCTAACTCCCTGGGGAACAGCTCCCTGGAAATGTTTGTTTTTTGTTTTTGTTTTTGTTTTTTTGTTTTTTTTTTTTTTTTCTCAGTATAGAAGGGAAAATGGCCTCAGAATGGGCCCTGTGCTAGGTAGAGGAGATCTCTTTTGACACCATGTCCCAAGCCAGGAAGGGACAGCATTCTTGCCTGGCTAATTTGGGTATGCTTGCTTCATGACTTGCATAGTTAGAGCTGCCAGCCTTGCTTCACTCCGATGGGTGGCCTCATCAGTCAACTGACTGAAGTATAAGGGGTCCCTGCTCTGTCATCTGACAGCACAATTCAGGTCTCGGTGCTCATGTAGTCCAGAGGGGCAAAAGTGGGCTTGTGGCTAAGGTATGGTTGTTGGTGGAAGAGATTTTTATACCGAGTTGTAGTGGAGCTTGGGAAGGCCCTGAGCATCTGGAGGTGGATGAGGGAATGCCCATCACCAGCAAGGGCAGGGCTGCCCCAGAGCCCAAGCTTAGTTCTGCTGCTGCTTCAGATGTGCTTGAAGGCCCACAGCTTGTTTTTGTTGAAGTAGAGGGTCTCACAGTGTTGCCCAGGCTAACCTTAAACTTGAGGTTTCCCTGCCTCAGTCTCCTGAGTCTCCAGTATTACCATGTGCCACACCACTCCAGGCTCATTCCAGATTCCTTACCACAGAAGACCCCAGTGTTCTGAAACCTATCTGCAGTTCTCGTGCCAGGACTTCTGGGAACCTTGGGCTCCCAAAAAGGCTCATCCAGGACATGTAGGTCCCAGCAACCTGCAGAGTCATTCCAGGGTTCCTTTCCTTTGGGAGTAATGTGAGGTGAGGAGCACAGGGAAAGCATAAGCAAAGAATACCCAAGGGTTCCTGTGTCAGGGTCCTATAGGAAAGGCTCCTAGCCACAGCTCAGTTCACCCTTGCTAACCTCAGGAGGCCTGGCTAGGCTGTAGGGCATAAAGCAGTTCTTCTGGGACCTCTCTGATCTTGCAGGCACAGATCAGGAGCCATGGCTGGCTTATGGTGCTAAGAACTGAGAAGATGGGACCTTGGGGCAGCTGTGGGGCTGAGTCCAGTAAGTACTGATAGGTGGGAAGGGAGCCAGACCAGAGTCAGCCAGGACATCAGCCAGCATGGGGTGAGCACAGATGTTGTCTGGGCAGCTTGTCCCTGCCTACAGAACTAAAGGAAAACAGAGTTCCCAATGCTAGGTCCTCAGCAGGGCTCCCTCGATGGGGAAACCAGGGCATTGGCACCATGTTACGAGTATGTTTTCCCACCGGCCTGGTCCCAGAGCCAGCCACGCCAGCCCCAAATAACACACAGAGTCACTGTATTAGATACAATGCTGTAGGCCTGTTATTAGCATTACTTATTGGCTAGCTCTGTTTTAAATATTAAACCATTTGTATCGATCTAAGTAGTAAGGAGGACCAATAGGGTAGAACTTCAGGTCCTCTATCTTAATGGAGATCCTTGTCTCCTAGTCCTGCCTATCATGCTTTCCTATTGGCCAACAGTGCTTTATTCATTAACTAATAAGAGAAACATATTTACAGAATGACATCTCCCATCAACAGCACATTGGCCTCTTTTGAGGCATAAGGTGGGTAGGTGAGGGGTATACTGTGGCCCAAGAACCTTGGAGTCCTACTCTAAGTTCAGGAAAGAGGAAAGGATCAAAGATACTGCCCTCTGAAGGGTAGGGCATGAGCCTTGGTCCCCTGCCTCCAGGCTCCCCCTGTTCCAGTCCTGAGGTGCTTTCCCCAAGACATAGAGGAAGTGGGGGTCAGCAGAGATACCTGGCTTGGTGAGTGAGCAGCCCCTGTCCCACCCTAGGCAGCCTTGGGAGCCCCCAACTGGATGCAACACTCAGCAGTTCACTGGATCTGCTGAAGGTCAGGGCCTTCCTCCCTGGGACTCTGCTTGAGCCTAGCTACCAGTTCTGCCTACCCACAGAGGCTAGGTCGGCAGTGGTATGACTCTCTGATCCTGAGGTCATAACTAGCCCCTGTGGAACTGTGGGACTCCTAGGACCATCCAGATCCCATTCCTTTGGCAGAGCATGCCTCGGGCACCCTTGTCACCTGACTTTTGTGCGGTAAGACTAGTGTCTTCCCAGATATCTCAGCCTAAAGGGCCACCTTTGAGAGCCCAGCCTCAGGGCCTCCATCTGATAGGGGAGAGGGGCAGCTGCTCCTGACACCATCTTTCTAAGTCTTCTGGCCCACTCCCATCCCCCACCTTACACACACACACACACACACACACACACACACACACACACACACACACTTTCCTCTTCCTAGCCTTTCCCTACTCCTCTGAATAGGCTGTACTCAGCCTTTCCCTGGCCTCAACTCCTAGAACCCAGAGTAGGGATGAGGCTGGGAGCCATCTGCCATTTCTCCTTTCAGACTCTGAATGGAAGCCTAAGAAGACTCCAACTTCTCTCAATTCCCACAGTCCTGGAGATGGGCTGGTCTCAGATGGAAGGGCAATAAGGGACCTGTTGAGTCTTCCCAGCATCTCTAAGTGTGGGGACAGCTTTGGCCAAGAGTGTACCTTGGAGCATCCAGCAGGCCTGTCTCCAGGATCCATTCCCTGCTCTCAGAAAAGGGACACTTGGCACATGGTACTCTTGCCACAGGGAGCCCAAAGGACTGGGGTCAGCACCAAGAAGGCTGCTGAGCTGGGCAGTAGTTTGGATCGCAGCTGCCAGCAAGCCAGCCCACAGGGTCCCAAGCCACACCGCTGCGAGGCCTGTGGTAAGAGCTTCAAGTACAACTCTCTGCTACTGAAGCACCAGCGCATCCACACAGGGGAGAAGCCTTACGCCTGTCACGAGTGCGGCAAGCGCTTCAGCAGCTGGTGGGGCTCCATGCAGCATCACCGCATCCACACGGGTGAGAAGCCCTATGAGTGCGGCCATTGTGGCCAGGCCTTCAGCCACAGCTCACACTTCACACAACACCTGCGCATCCACAATGGTGAGAAGCCCTACAAGTGTAGCGAATGCGGTCATGCCTTCAGCCAGAGTTCCAACCTGGTACGCCACCAACGGCTGCACACGGGAGAGAAGCCTTACGTCTGCAGCCAGTGCGGCAAGGCCTTCATCTGGAGCTCCGTGCTCATCGAACACCAGCGTATTCACACTGGTGAGAAGCCCTACAAGTGTGAAGATTGCGGCAAGGCCTTCCGAGGCCGTTCACACTTCTTCCGGCACCTACGGACTCACACGGGTGAGAAGCCCTTTGCCTGTGGCACCTGTAGCAAAGCCTTTGGCCAGAGCTCTCAGCTCATCCAGCACCAGAGAGTGCACTACCGAGATTAGCACACACCCCAATAAAGTGTGAGTGAACCTGCTCCTCCTGGGTGACATGGCAGGACATAGCCTGTGTCCAAGTATGATGGTTAAAGAAACTGTTTTGTGCTAAGTATCCATCTTGGTACCCACTACCTGTTAGTCTCTGACTCCAGTCCCTGGAGGATAAGTTCCCTATAACTCATAACGCCCACCCGGAAATGCACAGCTGTGACCATCTCCTTTATGCTATGACTGTTGGTTTCTGTGGCCTGTTTATGCAGACATTCAAGGACTATTTTGATTTCTCCCTGGTTGCCTAATCTTGGCAGAGCAGAACAGCACCTGGCTTATTCGTGCCCATACTCAAGTTCTTCTTGGGGTTTTCTCTTTAAAAATCCTTCCCTTCGCCCCTTCTCACAGCAGTCTCTAGTTTGGCTCAGAGGTTGCTGTCCTGCTAGCAGGTTCAATAAATGGAACTAATTATATTCTGGACTCAGTCTGTGGTCTTTTCCTAAGGTTATCAAACTCCATAACATTTGGTGACTTATCCAGGATCCCTGGAAGACCCCCAGACTCAGGGCTGGGGATTTCAGGCAGGCCAAGGCCTAGGAGAGCCTGAGACCAAGGCTGTCACAAATTAAAGAGTCACTAGTTAGGACAGACTGTAGATGGGGTAAGTACATTGTGGACTTGGAGGCCTAGGGGAACCCCAGACTGTGACCACTGAAAGTTTGTAAATAAAAAAGTAAAAGTTGCCAGCCAATGCACATTTGAAACCCAGACCAATTAGCAGTATTCTGTTCTGGAAATCCAGACATCATGTCTGATCTCCCATATGTCTCCTGGGACAGAAAGGGAGAGGTCCTCCTGTCCCACTGGTCCTGGTATATAAATGAAGGTGGCCACCACATGTCTGTTTGTCTGGTTTCCATTGACGTCGTGTCTTGATGTTGTTTGGTGGATCTGTGTTTTCCGGTGTGCTATGAGAGTTGTTGCAGACATGGAAACTGACCCTTGAGGATGCTGTGTTCTCCCTCCACACAGGTTCTCCCTTCTGGAGCTCTTTCCTAGCTCTCTTGAGGGACTTGGCTCTGTCTCTTGCTTAGCTTCATTATCTCTACCCCTGGCTAACCACTGGCCTTCCTTCATGTCACCCCAGGAACTGCCTGCTCTGTCTGTCCCTATCATTGGCTCGTTGGAGCCTGCTCTGTAAATTCCTTGGGTACACCAGGCACTTCATTATGCCTTCTGTTTGCTATCTTTTTCCTGTGCTCTCCTGTTTTCAGTCCTTTTCCCCTAGCTCTGTGATGGGAGATGTCATTCTGTAAATATGTTTTTCATATTGGTTAATGAATAAAGCACTGTTGGCCAATAGGAAAGCAAGATAGGCGGGACTAGGAGACAAGAAGGATTCAAGGAAGGAGTAGGGAGGAATCAGCATGTGGAGACTGCAGAGAACAGTGGCTCTGTTAAGATGAGACCATGTGGAAATACTTAGATTAATAGAAATGGGTTAATACTTAAGACAGAGCTAGCAGATAAGAAACTAGTATGCTGGCCAACAGCATTATATCAAATACAGAATCTCTGTGTGTGTTAATTGAGGCTGGTATGGCAGCAAGACCGGCGGTGGGGGGGGAAAGAAGGGGGGCCTTACTCCTAACATTATGGCGCCCCAGCGTGGCTAATAAGAACTTCCATTTGAAACTTAACAGAAGATTTAAAAAGGGTTTTAGATACAAAAGAACAAAGACAAGCAAGGCCTCTTGCTAACAACATTTTTCTGGGTTGAACTCTGTTTTGCGTGAGATAAGCAAAGATTTGCACGGCTCCTTTAAGGGAGGTTTCCTGACTCAGCATAAGCATCAAAAAAAAAAAAAAAAAATGCACGGCTTTTAAGAAACTCTGCTAACAATTTATTGGTGTGTATCAGAGCTGGCAATGGCAGTGACCACATCTCCAAGCCAGCAGCATGCTGCCAGATGGCAGCGTAGACCAAGGCAGTGAGCACAGCTCTCAGTTCTTGCAGTAAAGGTACCCACCACCATCTTTGATAAACCGGGGTTGAAACAACTGTAGCTTTCATTTTAGCAATGTTGTTATTTAGCAGATAAAAGACACGTGGCCAGAAAAAGATAAAGATTTACAGTAAAGACAGATTCACATTAAGAAAAAGTGCTAAAGGTTTACAGTGTGTCCTAATATATATATATGTAGGCTTGAAAAAAAAAAAGGATAAAATGGTTTAAAAAAGAATAAAAAGACAAAGAACAGCTGGGTGTGGTGGCACACGCCTTTAATCCCAGCTCTCTCTAGCCTGCATGCTGAGGGGGCCCATTTGTGCAAACACTTCCAGTTCATTAAAGCCTCTTGCGTGTTGCATCAACTGGACTGGACATTGAGTTCTTGGGGGAACTGACTGAAACGGGGAGACTCCTCATTCTGAGGAAGATAAAAAAGGAAAAGTAAGGCTCCTAGTCTCTCTGTGAACTTTATTTATGGTTTAAAGTTTTATTTTGAGTCTAAAGGATTTTCAACTAAATATTCAATTCAAATTTTAAGGCTAAAACTTAACAAGGATGAAACTATAAAATACTAATCTTGTAAAAAAAAACTGCTAACTTGTAAACTATTAAGCCATGATCAAATTCTTCAATGTGCTCAAAACTCTACTTGTAATCATGCTAACTGCGAATGTAATTAATTTGCAGAAACAGTTTTTTAACCTGTATGTTTTCAAGGTTAAGCCTAAATAAAGTAAGTACCTAAAAAAAAAAAAAAAAAAAAAACAGGTATATCGAAGAATAGACTATATGATGGCCTCAAGCTCTTCAGAGATCTGCTAAATATAGCACAAGTTCAGTTTTTTAAATGTCCTTTGGTTGTTTTTAAAGTATAGACTCAGCATTTCTTGTGCTGAAAATACCATTGCCCAATCTATGCACATCCAGCCTTCCAGACAAAGGAGAGTCCGGGCGTGAGTCTGCTCCAGCCATTTACAGGCATTGATAACTGCTTTTCTACAATGGGTATTTCAATACAGAGTACAAACAATGGTGATGTTAATACATCTAAAATTTTCAATTTTTGTAAACTTAAAAAATTCTTGTGAACTTCAGAATCTCAATTTAGCCTTCAGATAAATACCCCTGTCAGCCAACCACTTAAGCTCCCCCACCTAAAGTCTACAGGGGTCCCAGCAGATTCCCAATCAACTACAGACTGCAAACTGCTCCAAAATTACCAAGAGCCCTTGTACTTACTGAATTTTTATGTAAGCCAGATGTTTCTAACAAAATTTCCTGCCAACTTGAGTCCCACTTTGGGTCAGCATTCCAGACTGCTCCAAAACCATCTGTACTTTGATATCTTCACATGGTCCAACAGAACCTGGGCAGTAAACCAGATGCAGCCTGTCCCCTCCCAGCCTTTGACCAGCTCTATAGCCTTCCTCCCAATTTTAGCTGAAAAGCAGTTACAGAAGAGAGTACAGAAGGCTGGAATATTAGGTCCAAAAGAATTAGTTCCCCTCTACCTAAAGGAGTCACCTTCTCTCTGGCAAAAGGACAAATAGGACCTATGATGCCTATTAGCATAACAAAGGCTTATGTTGGCCTTCAGAATCCTCTAGTATTTTAACAAATCCTTGTTAAAATCAGTTACAAATAAGGTGCTCAGTCAGGTGATGATGCTCACACCTTTAATCACAGTACTCAGGAGTCAGAGGCACAGAGAAACCCTGTCTGGAAAACCCCAAAACCAAACCAAACCAGAGTTACTTAAGATGGGAGCTAGGATCTTTGAATGGCTCATGTTTGTAATATTCAGCTCAGGCTCCATTCCAATCCCTGCCCTCATGGTGACAAGTAGCAGGCCCCTCCCCTGGAGTGGCCTCAGTCTAAACTCCACCCCCGGAGAAAGCCAGCCATTGGCAGCTCCACTCCTAGAGGGCAATAAAAGCCTCTCATCTTGTGGTTTCCTTTTCCCCTAGGGCCATCCAGGAACACTTTGCTCAGATTAAACCTGGATTCATTAATTTGGCTTGATTGGTTTATTACATCAGTGTCCTGGTCTCCAATAATGGGATTCAAAACTTGTCAGGTCACCAAATTTTACCCTGGTATTTGTTTTCTCTGTCTTGCTGCTTCATGCACCCTGATGCTCATTTGTAAATATCAATGTCAAACATTATACAAGGGACCCTAATTTTCAGCTTCCCTTTTCCTGGGAGTCTCGAACTCTATAATACAAGGTCCTGGGCTGAGAGTACTTGGGGGTAGGCCCTGAAACTAAGGGGTGGTCTGGTCTGCCCACAGCCTGAATATCATGGAATGGAGACTGCTAGGCACAGCTTCCTGTGACAGGGACCACCTGACTGGGTGTCCCTGATTCTGAGTCCTCTTGTCTGTAGGCCTCTTCTTTCTGAGTTTGGGGTGGCTGGAGCTGTCAGTGCTCTGGGAACACTAAATTATGTGGGTGCTTGTCTTTCCCACTGGGAATGGGGGACCGCGTGATACCTGGGGAGGGAATGCAATTGGTTGTGGTGCCTAGGACAGCAGGTTTGGTGGTCCCTGTCACAGGAAGCTGTGCCTAGCACAGGACCAGGTACAGGATGGGGCACCTATGGGACTGTACTGAGGCCTCCTAGAATCCCCTGTGTAAGGATTCAGGCATTATGCTGGCCTGCCCTTTTCACCTGGCAGAATGCACTCAGGCAATACCCTGGTCAGCCCAGGGTTCCATGATTGCATAGTCTGCATGCAGGTGCAAAGGACCCCTTTAAAAGAAAAATTCCCCCCTTGCCACTCTGCTCTTTCCCTCTCGTTCTTTCCCCTGCTTTCCTGATCTCCCTTTCCCCGCTGTTCCCCTGGGGCAGACAGGACTTTTCCTATCTCCCTCTTCTATCCTCTCTCTCTCTGTCTCTTTACCTCTTTCCTTCCCCCTCTAACCCCCTTTCTAATAAAACCTCTCACTTAAACTCTGTCTGCCTGGCATGTTTGTCCCTCACCTGCCATGGAATCTACCAAGGTCCCCCACTTAAGGTTCCCCTCTGCATTATCATAATACCCAGGTCACACACAGGTACAACAGCCTCAGGCCTACACACCAGGCAATGCTGATCCTGGGGTCCAGATAATTGAGCTTAGCAGTGCTCAGGGCCACTTGCTTGTTCTTCTCCTTATCTGTGGCCTTCATGCGCAACCGGGCCAACTGTTCCTCCAGCTTCACCAGCTGCTTCTGCTTCTGCAGCAAACTGTTGGAAAAGGAGGTGCCTGTGCTGCTGCTGAGAGCAGGCCACATGTCACCACCTCTTATGCCTCCAGTTTGACCGTCCTTCCTGCAAATGGCCTCGTCTAGCCATTTCTAGGCACAAAGTGAGAAGTTCAGAAAGGGTCAAAAACCAAGGCAAGCCCTCACTACTGCCCAGGGAGGCTGCTGGCTCCACTGATGGAGGGAGTTGTATGATGCTGGCAAGCAAGCAGGAAAGGCTAAGAACAGGAGACATGAAGAGATGGCCTTGTGACTAGAGAAGATCTTCAGCCCTCATCTCTGCCTTTTTTTTTTTTTAAAGTCTAGGTATTTATTAGATATAGTGTTCTGCCTACATGTATGCCTGCAGGCCAAAAGAGGGCACCAGATCTCATTACAGATGGTTGTGAGCCACCATGTGATTGCTGGGAATTTAACTCAGGACCTTTGGAAGAGCAGACAGTACTCTTAACTGCTGAGCCATCTCCAGCCATATTCCTGCCTTTTAAATGGGACTAGAGAGATGACTTAGCAATTAAGAGTACTAGCTGCTCTTCCAGAGAGCCTGGATTCAATTTCCAGCATTCCCATGATAACTCAAAACTATCTGTCCCAGGGGATTGGATGCCCTCTTTAACCTCCATGGGCTCCAGGCACATACATAGTACACAGACATACAAGCAGGTAAAATTTTCATAGACATAAATCTTTAAAATGATTAATTTAATTTTAGCCGGGAAATGATAGCACATGCCTTTAATCCCAGCATTCAGGTGGTAAAGGCAGGCAGATCTCTGTGAGATCAAGGCCAGCCTGGTCTAAGTGAGTTCTAGAACAGCCAAGGCAACACAAAGAAACCCTGCTTCAAAAATAAATAGTTAAATAAAATTTAAAAAGAGGTGTTGCTTTTACCCTTCTTACATGCCCATGGCAACCTGCTAACAATCATGACACTATGTGGTAAATCTGAATCCAATCTGAGAATCCAAATACCAATGTGGGAGAATGCACACATGTGGATATGTGCTACAAAAAAAGGCTGGGATACTCTGCACTTACAGGAGCCTTGCCATAGCAGTGTGACAGTCACACTCCAGCAGTGACAAAGTCACTGTCAAGAGCACAAGCAGAAAATCCAGGAGGTCAAGTGTGACCTATGGGTCACCGTATGCAGGAAAGGAAACAGGAAGCCTCGTGCCCTGCAGAGAACTTCTGGTGATACATGGGACATATCACAGCAGCTGTTGTGACAGCTGCACGCCTCATTGAATGCCCTCTGGTCTAACTGACATCTGCTATGTGCCACTGTAAACAGACACAGCTCTGCGCCTCCAGAAGCTTGTCATAAGGAAGAATAAACTTCAGCCCTTAAGAACCACGGTCATGTGATCAAGAATGCTCAAGGACAATACAGAAATATAAAGGACATTGAAGATGCCATTGATAGCTGGACACAAAAAGTCCAATCATAGACTACAAGCCCAGAATGACAGAATCCACTGACTCAAGAGGACATAAAAAACCTAGACAGATAAATGAGACCAGAATAGTCACTAAAAGTGTCTTCCAAAGCAAAGCCCCCTTAAGGGCACAGCCAGAGCATTCCACCAAATAAAGAGAGAAACATGCCCCAACTCATTTTCCGAAGCCAGAATTACAAACCAGACAAAGGCATCCCTCTGGATACAGAACAAAAGCTCCAACAAAGAGAAGGCAGTTCCTGAAGGAGAACACAGCACCCAGCCATGGGAACCCAGGGAGGGCTATACACCCAATGACAAATCAGTGTCATGCACTGCATGAGTCTAAAAGGACCAAGCCCACAACCATCTCAGCAGAGAGCATCTGACAAACCCCTGCACCCATCACATGTGTGTACTACAACCCTGCAAATTCCAGAGAAGCATCCATGAAAACCCACTGCATATACTCAGTGCTGATGAATGAAAGCTTTGCCTCTTAGATCAGACACCAGACAAGGGGACCCCCACTGACTGTTAACCACGTTCTGGAGGGTCTAACCAAGTCAAGAAAAGGAAATCTAAAGCCTCCATGCCAGAAAGGATCATCAAGCAACTATCCATGGATAGTCCATCTCTACACAATCAATAGTTAGCAATGGTTTACAAGAGCAGGGAAGGAAGCAAATAGACCATCAGGAGCACATTTCTGTAAGTCACCACAACTGGGCTTGGCCAGCCACCCATGAGAGCCCACGGAGAAGCTGGGCTCTCAGGAAATTCTTGCTAGTCTCACTAGTCAGCAGACTTCCTAATCTCAACACGCTTTACAGACAGAGAACATGGTTCACACTGAACCTGGCTCTCCATCTGAAGGCCTGGGTCTTGGCTTATGGCAGAGGACTGAGGCAAATCTCAGAAGCTTTCTGGATATACATACATATACATGTACATATACATACATATACAGCCCCTCACATGTCATCCCATTTGTGGTGCCAGTAACAAAAGGAACAAATAAGGGAGGAGGCCTCTAACATTTTTTTCTCTTGGCTGATCCTGTCTCCTTTGCTGCATGTTCAGCTCCCAGTATATGCTGCACTCTTGGGTATCAACTCAGATGTGGCCATGAGGAAGTGACAACCATGGGCATCAAAAGTGAGATTCACTAGACTCTAGATTCACTGAAACACGTGGAAGTACTGTAGCGAGAGAGAGGACCAAGTACAGTGGACACCAGGCCTCTGTGTACCTGGAGCCTGAGAATCGATGCATTAAAACCAGAGTAAGGGGACTGGGGAGATAAGAGCACTGGCTGCTCTTCCAGAGAAAACCCACAAGGCTTGGTGGCTAGGAAGCCAGAACCCACAAGGCAGCTAGCTCTTAACCATCAATAACTCCAGTCCCAGAGGATTTGACCCCCCCTTCTGGCCTTCTTGGCAAAGACATACATGAAAGCAAAAACATCAATACATATAAAAATAAATACAAAATTAGTTAAAAAAAAAAAAAAAAGGCAGGATAAGATGTCAAGATCACCTGTGGAGGATTGGGTGTTGGTGGCACACACCTTTAATCCCAGCACTCAGGAGGCAGAGGCAGGTGGGTCTCTGTGAGTTTGAGATCAGCCTGATCTACAGAGTGGGAGTTCCAGGCCAGCCAGACCTATGTAGTGAGATGTTGTCTCAACCTCCCCCACAAACAAAATAAACAATACAAGGAGGGGTAAATGGTTTCTGCATCTAGGTGCATCGAGACTCTTACACTGCTTAACATTCATAATCTTCACAGCCTATGAATACAGAGGGCTCAACCACCATAAAGAGAGATGGAGGTGTTTTAAGAGGCCACAGCTACTTCTGCAGCTGGTGGGAGAGCTAGCCCACCTCTCTGGAGACATGAATTTGAAGGTCTCCTGTTGGTCCTGGTCCTAACCTAAACCTGAAACTGCCCACCATGGCAGCCCTACCAACTTTAGGCACTCCTCTGGGGTCTTAAGCTGAGAACCTATGCTGCCTGCTGGCTGGGAGCCTAGCAGTGGCCATCTTGAGATGTCAGGAGTGGCAGCCTGTGACCATTCCTAGCACGTGGCTCCTATAACTGCTACCACAGCCCAAGGCACACCAGATGGGACTCGGTTCTTCAGGACTCTTTGCTGATGTCAGTGCCCTGCATGAACAGTTTGCAGCCTTCGACAAAAGGCCTGATTACATCCTACCTTCCCCTGGGGAGGCAGTGTGGTTGCCAGACTGCCAGACACAGTTTGCTCCAATTGGGACTGGTAACTACAGAAGCAATCAGGAATATGCCTGAGTGGGACACACATGCTTCCTTACACCTGGGAAATTTGGGAGTACACTTAGCTTCACCCAGGACACAGCTTGCCTTCTCTAGTCACATCTGTGAAAAGCTCTTGTCCAGATGTGGCCTCTGGATGGGAAAGTAAGGGCCATACTTACTGAATGTGATTTGGAAAGGTGCATCAAGGGATGGGGGATGAAGAGATGAGGGGTGGGGTGAGGGGAGGTGAGGGAGGGGAAGGGTGGGCAATAGCTGTGAAATGCACGTGTGGAAGGGGCAGTGATGAAGTTCTGAAAGTACAAAGTGATGATGCAGTATGCATGGAAGCCTGGACTCAGCCCGGGTATTCTGCATGCTCGGCTGCCACTCAGCCACAAGCACAGTGTGTATTGAGCCTGTGACCTTTTATCGCTGGACTTGAAGTGGCCTAGGGAACTCCTAACAAAACTAGCCATGAATAATCCAGATATGAACTGAAAATTCCATTTACAGTTGCATAAAATCACAATGCTTAGCTTTTCCTCAAAAACTATGAATGTTTGCTAAGATTAGGAAAGACTTAGTTTAGATTACATTGATTTTTTTTTTTTGGTTTTTCAGAGACAGAGTTTCTCTATGAAGATTTGGAGACTGTCCTGGAACTAGCTCAGGCTTGTCTCGAACTCACAGAGATCCTCCTGCCTCTGCCTCCTGAGTGCTAGGATTACAGGCGTGCACCACCAATGCCCAGCTTACATTGTTTTTTTTTTTTTTTTTTAATAGACTCCCGTGTAATCCAGGATGGCCCTGAATTTGCTATGTAGCTGATCCTGACTTCTGTCGGTCCTGATTTTCTATCTCCCAAGCACTGGGATTACAGATTGTGTTCAGATAAGGTACTGCATAATCTGATTCAAATAAATCGGCAAACTGAAGACCACACCAACATTCATGGGGGAAATTTCAAGTGTCTCCATGTAGCCAAAAGTATCTTTAAAGAGAAAAACAAAGTTAGGAGTTAGACAGTGCTTTCATGATGACAGTCCCAGCCCTCCAGAGGCTAAGGACTGTGAACTCAAGACCAGCCTGGGGTACACAATGACATGGTCTCAAACAAACAAAAAAAGAAAACAGCGCGAGCTCTCATTCTTCCTGATTCCCACACTCAGCCAGCAGGATGGACTGGGGCTGACACAGGACAAGATAGACAGAACAAAATCGAAGTCCAGAAATGAAACCCACATCTGCAATCAACCCAGGTAATGGGTGCAAGGGTGGCAGATGATTCCTTAGCACACAATGCCAGGAAGTGAGGCTGGACCCTCAGACCCCAGACAAAAGTGAATTCAAGATGAACTGAGGACTACTGTGATAGCTAACACAATAAATCCCTCACAAAAAAACCTGGGAATCAGCCAGGTGGTGGTGGTGCAGGCCTTTAATCCCAGTACTGGGGGGAGGGGCTGGATCTCTGTGAGTTCAAGGCCAGCTGGTCTACAGAGCTAGTTCCAGGATAGCTAGGGTTGTTACACACCGAGACAGATTGGGACTAGGGCCCAGGGTCATATTTTTCAAGGCGGCAGCCCCACACATACCTTTTAGACTTGCTCTCCCCTCGAGTTCTAAGGTTAGCTTTTGCCTTCTCCAACTCCACCTGTGCCTCAGCCATCTGTGCCTTCTTGGTCTCAATCTGTGAAGAAACCAACCATGGTGTGGTTGCTTCTGTCCCCACCAAGACCTGTCTTCAGGTTTCTGTCCACAGCTGTTGGCCCTACATTCTTTGGGAAGTTATAGTAGATAGAGCCCAGAGCCTCACAAACCACTGGAGTGGGTGAACCATTCCAGATGCCAACTCTGCCTGAAACAACTCAGATGACAGAAGAGACTGGGAGAAGTCTCTGTGAAGCCACACGGGGCTGGCCCTATCCCGTTCTGTGGCCAGGAGTGAGGTCAAAAGGCCTCTAGGGCCCAATAATGCCACCTGCACCAGCCACAAATTAGTCCAACATGCCCCCCCACTCTGACCTCTTTCCTAAACTAGAATACAGGCTGTGTCCTAGCAGGGAGATGAGAGGCAGCCTAGCCAATCCCTCCCATGGCTGCTCAGGTCATGGCCCTGAGCAATTCCAAGTCCCTGATCCCAGCCTCCTGGAGCAACTATAGCCACCACACATTCCTGCCCTTCATAGCTGCTGGCCCCAGGAAAGAGGCGGTGGCATGGGGACAGCCACACTACAGGTGCCTTCCCACCTTTTGCTGGAGGTCTTGGGGATTGCTCTCTGATGTTTACAGAGGACAGCCACAGTCCGATTCACCTGGTTGTAAGCTAAGACTTTAGAGGTTAGGCTATCTTCAGCTGAACAAAAACAATGAATGATAAATAACCTGTCATTCTGCTGCAACCTGCTCTGAGACTCCTTTCCTCCCTCCTATTCTTTGGTGGTGCTGGTGATGGAGGCCAGGGCCTTGACATGCCAGGCAAGTATTCTACACTAAGCTAATACACCCTTGACCCTAAAAAGGCTCTTTCTGGACATGTTATAAATGTGAATTCCTCCTATAACACAAAGTCCCAAGGAGGAAATGACCTAAGATGTCCTCACAAGCCAGGGCCAAGTAGGTTTAGTCATAGCAATGGAGGCACTGAGAGTTCTCACCTTCTTGTGGGGGTTGGACTATGCCCTATTGGGACAGAGGCAAGAGCCCCAAAGCCATCCCAGGCTCCACCATTTCCTTCTGGAACAGGGTAACCTGGAAGCCCTGAGGCCCGAGGAAAGGCAGTGTTATTTGAGTTCATGCAGTCTGGGATCCTCACCCCAAGAACCAACAACACTGAGGCCCTTTGCACAGTATACCCCAGCTTTACTAGGCAACAGTCTCACCAGCTATATCACTGAGAACCCAAGGTTGGGGATGTTAAGACACTCCCGAATCACCTATCTGCACGACCCACTTACTCTCACACTACCTCCTACCTGAAGAATTCTAAGACCCGGGATCCCCAGAGCAGGCGGCCATTCTTACAAGACTTGCAAAACCGTACCCGGAAACAGGACCCTGAAGGTTCTTCAAAATTGGGTCTGGAAGGATGGCTCTGCGTCCTCTAGAAAGGGCTCCCTACCTATAAGACTGCCCTACTGCATGAGAGATGAGCTCACTGGCCCCAGGTCAGCCATTGTGGCTGCCTGGGGTTTAGTGGGGGAATAAATAGCCTGGATCCAACATTTAATGGCTTGCCCTGAACAGAGAGTTCCCAAGCCCATGGGTCTCATGTTTCCCTGAAGAAAGCCAGTCTAGGCATGGGTAGTGGGTACTGACTTCATGCCTTTCTGTGCTAGGAGAAGCAAACATTGGGCATGTGAACACAGCTGAGGTAGACAAAGGTCCCAGGTGGACAGGAAAGGAATGAGACAAAAAGCTGGAGAGGTCTGGGGCTACAAAAGAGGTCAGGAGTGGTGGGGTTCAGAACCCTGTTAGGAACCTCCAAGATCTGACTAAAGAAGAGAGGCAAGGCCATACCTAGAGGAGGATGGGTAAGGACAGACTGCAGACCAGGGACAGAAGCTGGAAGAGGTGGAGCAGGAAGTGTGATGCCTCCCTGCAAGGGGCAGCGAGGCCACCCTGGCCCTGGGACTGACTTCGAGCATTCATCCACCACAGACAACCTTGCCCAGCCCTACTTTAGCTGACGCCTAGGGTAAGCCAAGGTGCAACCCTTAGGCAGCTCCCATAGGAGACAGTCTGGTTAGCCCCCAGGGTCAGGTATAAGAACCTACTCACCCCTGGTCAGTACCCACAGCTGCTCCTGCAGAGTGATGGAAGCTTTGTAGGTCCGGAACACCTTGGCTGTCAGCCCCTCCATCAAGTCCTGCAAGTGCTTGTTCAGGCTGGCAGTCTGGGTACAGAAAGGAAAAAGGAGTCACAGATAATTTCCTTGGAGACATGAGTTTCATGGGCTGTTCTCAGCCTCCAAGAGGGGGCAAGAAAGAGGGCTTCAGTCTGGGTCAGAACAGAGAACACACTGGGGACAAAGACCCCTTGTGCCCACCCAAAGGCTTACAGTCAGCACATCAAAGAGATTGTCCCCAGGGTCTTTGTCCTCCATGAAGTGCTGAAGGTTCTGGAACACCTGAAACAGAAAAGGGCTAAACTCACACTGTGACCTCTGAAGAAGCCAGCTGAGCAGGAAAGAGGTCTAATGGAGACAGGGAAAATCACACCATTCATGCATACCCGCAGAGGAATACAGAAGGGTGCACACACCAAGTTCTGGAAAGAGATGGTGTCAGCATAGTGTGAGGTCTACCCATGGGAACTTGTGTCTCTGCCTCCCAACCCAAGCCCACACATGGTCACTCACTGCTAACTCATCCATGGCCAGTATGTGGTTAGAGCTGGGGCAGGTCTTTTGTGCCTCTACAGACCCAGTGACTTTAGCAGGCAGCTAACTCCTAGCTCCCTCTTCTGCCAGCAACACTGACTTTCACCCAGGTGACCCAGGGCCCTGTACTTGCGGCCAAATCAGACACACCTAGCATTACAGAGCCCCAGGAGAACAATCTCCACTTTGCTCTCTTTCAAGAGATGGCATGGAGATCCTCCTGGCCAGGCCAACTTCCAGAGGAGATTTCCCAGGCTGCACTGGCCTCTCCTTAGTTTCAGCTTGCCCCATCCTGCCAAAGTTGCCAAGGTGGCACCAAATCATCCTTGAAACCTTATAATGTGGCCTTCTGTAGAAACAGGCTGGGATGGGGTCACATAGGATATAGCGGTCCTGACCCTGACAGTGTGTGAAAGAAGATGATGTGGGGAAAGCAGTTGTGTTCAACAGAGACAGTGCATAACCAGCAGCGGCATCAAGTCTCACTGGGCAGAAGCCAGGATGGCAGGAAAGAGGTCTCACAGGGTGAGGTAAAGCCAGGGCATGGGTGGTACCAGTGGAAGCAGGGACAGGCAAGAAACAGATTCTCCCCATGTTCCCAAAGAACCAGCACCACACCCTGGACGTCAGGCCTCCTAGGCCAAAACACTTGTAACAGGTGTGTGTGTGCACACGAGGGTACACGTGTGCACACATCCTGACTGTAATGCCTCATCACACAGCCACAGGAGACACTGAGAGGTGCAGCAGGCCACTGAACATCCCCTGTGGCTCTGCCATGCACTGACTGAGATCCCATTGTGAGCAGGGTCAATGAGGGCACTCACAAGCTTCTCCACCGTCACACAGTTATTATAGCGGATGGAATCCTTTCCCAAGAAGTCCAGTTCCACAACATGCTCTTGGCCATCTGCCTTTTCATGCAGACGAACATGCTCCACACGGAGCGAGCAGACAGTGTCAGCTGTCTCACCTTCTTCCTTCTCATTTCCTGTTCGCAGTGCCAGCTAGACCAGGGTAGACACTGGTCAAGGCTGTGGTCTGAGGCATAGGAGCACACTCACGGCACTCATGCATACATAGCAGCACATACACAGGCATGAAGTTGAACTCTCCATCTCCTCTCCCCGCCAACACCCCCACCTCCACACACACATACTCCCTGGAGGCTCCAGCTCCAGGGAGAACCCATCATTGTCTTTGCTGCCCAGCTCTCAAGGTCCCCACACCATGCTATACCTTATCAATAAAATAAAGGGCCATGGCCAGCTGTCTTTTCTTCATTTCTGGGGATTTCCAGTCAGTCTGATACTGAGCACGGATCTTGCCCACCACTCCCTTCAAGCATCGTGCAGCCTCGTACTTGTGTCAATCCATCTCCCCCTATGTGAAGACAGTAAATGTCACTCTCAGTCCTACAACATGGTGGAGCAGGTGACTGGACACCTCCCCACCTCAGACGGGTTTGACTGGGTGAGGGATGGGGCAGCAGAGCCTGGCCTCTGAAAACTAGGAATCCCACTCAGATTCCTGCTAGACTGCACATTGGGCCCAGTTGCTCTCAACACTGGATGGCTGATCCTGGACCTAAAAAGTCTCCCACACCTGCCAACCTGAACTAGCACAGAAGAGAAGGCCTAACACCTTCTGGACACTTCAGCTTCCCTGGAGTGTCATGCTCTCACCTTCAGCTTGGAGCTGGGGTTCAGTATGACGTACTTGAAGGTGTTGTGGATGTTCTCTATCCATGAAGCCAGCCATGTGACTGTGTTATCTGAGCACACCTCTTTCCACTGGTGACTGGCTGGGGGCTCAGGGACCTTGGAATCCCTACAGCAAACAGTCACAGTTTCAAGACCTTGGTCCTCAAATACAAGCAAGGGTAACTTCCCTATGGGTGTCCTGTGGCCACACTACTAAACTACTATGCAAGTTTGGCTTCAGAGCTGGCTCCAAGCTCCCCAGATCAAAACAGCTGACAACCTGGCAAGCACACACACACACACACACACACACACGCACACACACACGCACGCACGCGCACACACACACGCACACACACATACACGATCAGAACAGAACAGAAAGCTCTGTACAGAGAATTCTGAAGCCCAAACTCATATACCAGGTGGATGCCACACACCAGCTGTCACCTGGACCAACAGCACCAACACTGCACCAGCACAATGCAGCAAACCCATGCCCAACATGCTGTTGAACATTCAGAAAGCCAAACACAGGACATCTCCTGGCAGGAGAACTTCAGCAAGACAAGAGGTTCGGTTGGTGCAGAGAGATACTGTTCACAGCTACACCTGTTGACCCAGAGCCCTGATACATGGGAACAGTGCCTGGTGTCTTCTGCCACACATCCAGTGAGGGGTTCTACCCCAAAGAACTAAGGACAAACATTACCTCACCAGGCAGCCTGGGCTAGCCCCAGCCAGGGTTCAGTACTCACCACAAAATCCTGGCTGGCAGAGTCCCACATACCTGCTGCAGTTAATGACCACATCCTCCGGCATGACTCTCCTCTTCAACATCCCCATCTTGGGATGGTCACCTCGGCCACGAAATAAGCCAGGTGGCTCTCTCTTGAAATTGCCTATTTTTTCTCTGCCATCTAGAATACAGTAGCCAAACTCCTGCTGAAGTTTTTCGGCCTCTTCTTTTAGCTTCTGAGTTAAAACAACATGTGGGCATTAGGAGAGAAAAAAAAACTAGAACCAAATGAGTCCCTGCAGTGTCCAAGGGCCCTCCTGATGCTGTTGCTGCAAACCCCTAGCTCTCCAGCAAGCTTGGGGACCACATGGCATGCGTTTCCTCAAGCTGCAGCTAAGTCGGAGCAGGGTACCCTTCAAGGTAGGAGGAAACAAGCCAGGTTCTGGAATTACCCCAAAGTACCCCCCCCCCAATAGCTGGCCAAGAAGTAGGCAACCGAGAAAGAACTACGTGGAGGGCTCCATTAAATATAGAGGAGATGCAGAAAGAAGCAGAAAGAAGCCAGTCCATCCCCACATTCCCGCCCTTAGGTCCTTTGCCATTCATGATGTTTCAAATGGTAGATAGAGTACTTCCTCCCTGCCTTCTCAACCTTGGTTTTTCAAGATAGTTGTAGCCCTGGCTATCTTGGAATTCACTCTGTAGACCAGGCTGGCCTCAAACTCACAGAGATCCACTTGCCTCTGCCTCCTGAGCACTGGGATTAAAAGCATGCCCCACCAATGCCCAGCAGCAGTGTACTTTCAAATGTGCCCCGGGAAAATGGAATTATATCTTGGACACACTTAAAAAGGGGGGCGTTACTTCAGTATTCAGCACCTGCTGTGATAGCACCCAGAACCTGGTCCACTTCCCAAGGCCTCTTTGGGAGGAAGGCTCTATGAGGGGTCCCCTGTAGCTTGCACCCAACAGCTACCTCTAAGTTTCTCAGAACCCACCGCTGACCTGCTTCTGCTCCCTGGACAGGGTCCTGTGGGCCTCAGTTCTTGCCATGAAATGCTTGTGGATCTCTACAAAGTCACATTTGTCAAGGTGTGTGATGAGCTTTCTCTCCTCAGCTGTCATCTCCTGTACCAAAACCAGCAATACATGCTCAGTGCTGTAAATACAGGCATCTCCCTATGACAAAGTGAGTGCACACTTGGGGCCCACTGCACAGGATCACTGTGATATACCACAAACACTGGGTTGAACTGGGCAGAGTGCTAAGGCCATGCCACTAGACCAGTGGTTCTCAACCTGTGGGTCATCCCCCCCAGGGGTGGTGGTGGTGGTATTGTTAAATGATGTTTTCACAGGAGTCTTATCAGATAACCTGTATATCAGATCTTTACATTTTCATTCATAACAGTAGCAAAATTATAGTTACAAAGTAGCAACAAAGAAATTTGGGGATCACCACAACATGAAGAACTAACTATCTTAAAGGGTTGCAGCATTAGGAAGGTTGAGAACCACTGCACTAAACCCCCAGCCTCCAGTAACTATTATACCAGGTGCACAGTAGTCCTGTGACTAAGTCACGTGACCCCAGCTGGAAACAGCTGCCTCCTGGCCACACAGTAACACATGGATGCATGACAAGGTAAACCCAGGACGAACAGGGACCATATAGAGGACAGTGTGTGTATTCTCAGCTTCAGATTTGTGGCCCTGGCTCATATCCTAAGCCTTGCTTCTTCAGAAAACAACCAAATGAAATTCCCAAGTGAACCCCTAAATTCACATCCTTCCCCAGGGTAAGACCTCCCATGCCTCACACCATCAGGGGACAAAGACTGCTAACGGAGCAGCTCATCCCAGGCACCAGTGACAGAACTGCACCACTCCCAGGCTCCAGCCAGCAGTAAGGGACTCAGAGTATGAACCCAGGGGTGGTGGTGTGGGATAGCCAAGGACAACCATTTCCAAATGTAATTTAACATTTCGGTGATGAAAGTGGTAAAATCCCTGACCTTTTCAGATCCCCATCCTATGCAAATTATCCATGTTGTTGCGATGACAATTGTACTCTAGGGACAATTAAAGAAGAAAACTATAAAGCACTGGATAAACTGCAGAAAATTCACTCAATGGAATATTAAAAATCCCTTTTGCCTTTGAAGGTTTGAACTTTTGCCAGACTATGCAGCCAAGTTAACAATATGCCTTAACATCATTTAAGGCTATGTACTTGTGGCTGGAGAAATGGATTGCTCAGTGGTTAAGAACACTGACTGTTCCTCTAGAGAACCTGAGTTCAATTCCCAGCACCACATGGCTGCTCACAGCTGTCTGTAATTCCAGTTCCATGGGATCCATCACACAGCCATACCTGTGGTGCACATATCTGTGTATGCAGGCAAAATACCAATGCACATAAAATAGAGTATATACTTAACTTGCTGTCTTGCTGTGGACTCAGCCTGTTTGCCTTTAAGAAAACATGGGCTGAGCATTGATGGTGCACTCCTTTGATCCCAGCACTCAGGAGGTAGAGGCAGGTGGATCTCTGTGAGTTCGAGACCAGTTTGGTCTACAAAGATACACAGAGAAACCATCATGAAAAACAAAACAAACAAACAAAAAAACTCACAATAACAACAAAAAAGGAAAACATGTGGGGCTGGAGAGATGGCTCAACAGTTAAGAGCATTGGCTGCTCTTCCAAAGGCCTGAGTTCAATTCCCAGCAACCACATGGTGGCTCACAACCATCTGTAATGAGACCTGGTGCCCTCTTTTGGCTTGCAGGCATACATGCAGGCAGGATACTGTATGCATAAATAAATAAATCTTAAAAAGAAAACAATGTAACCAACCTTACTGTGCCTTGGATTTTCTATGAAGTCAGCTTTTACAAACCAAGCTAATGTATAGCTTTATGTTAAGCTGTGTACTCTTCCATGCCCCTGACCTGTAACAATGTGTAATGTTTTCTGTAACTGTTCAATAAATACAGAACAAAGCACTTTGTTAGGGACAGGCACAGGCACAAAAGACAAGCCACATACCACAAAGCAGACAGAAGACACAGAAAGTAGAATTCAAATATGGGTTTGCTCTTGGTCAAAACTATGCAGAGAAGTCTCAAGTGGCATCATATACATTAATGAAAAAAACAAGCTGGGTGTGTGGCTTTAATTCCAGCACTGAAGGTAGAGGCCAGCCTAGGCTTACAAAGGGAGTTCCAGGACAGCCAGCACTACACAGAGAAACCTTGTCTCAAAAAATTTGAAAGAGGGCTTGGAGAGATGGCTCAGCAGTTAAGAGCACTGACTGCTCTTCTAGAGGACCAGGATTCAATTCCCAGCACCCACATGGCAGATCACAACTATCTGTAACTCCAAGATCTAACACCTTCACACAGATATGCATGCAGGCAAACACCAATGCACATAAAATAAGAATAAATTATTTTTTAAAAATTCAGAAGAAAATATCCAAATGCCAAACAATACAAGAAAAGATACTCAATGTTGTTAGTCACCGGAGAAATGCTAGGGGTGCAGGCTTGTGGTTGCTAGATAGCAAGATATGAAGATCAGGCCAGGCTCACATGTAACACATGTTGTAAAAAACAAGGGAAGAGAGAAACCTCACATAGTCCTCTCATACTGTGTGCTTATTTTCATGGGACAGAAAACACCCTTTGGACTGAGAGCTGGATGCTGTCATTAGAGCTCCCAAGACAAGGTCACCACAGTCTGCCATGCTGGGCAAACACTGTGGCCACTGAAAGCTGGATGGACTATAGAGAAGGCAGCTAACTGGGCACCCACCCCATAGTGTCCCCTCTCCCCCCTCCCCCGACACACACCTTTCTCCACTCATTGAAGAAGTTCCTCTGGAAGACTTCCTTGGTCGTACACTCAAGGTGCAGCATTTTCCCATACAAAGTGGCGACCTCCTCTGCTGCCACGCTCAACTTCACTGGCTTTCCTGCAGATAACACACGAGCTGGCTGAGGGACTGCTATAGGCCCCATCCAGGTGACACAATCTCATACTTCAGTATCAGTACACAGTATACTCTGAGCACACTGAAGTTAAAAATGACCAGCACTTGAGTAAGGCAATGGTCACACACTCCCAGAGCAACACCAGGAACATCACTGGGGTTTGCAATAGCCCCAGCCACTCTCTCCTTTCCTTATTATGCCGCACCTTGTTACTAAGTTTGTATTATATGAAAAAGTAACATATGTATGTCATTATTATTGTGTGTGCACATACATCCCACATAGAGGGTAGGGGCACCACACATGCCATGGAGTGCCTGTGAAGTCAGAGAACAACTTTGTGGAGTGGGTTCTCTCCATCCCTCTTTATGTGGGCCCCAAGCCTCAGTAGGGTGATTGTGCTGCACGCATTTAATCCAGGTACTGGGGTACCTGGGAGGCAGAGGCAAGCAGATCTCTGTGAGTTCAAGACCAGCCTGGTCTAGAAGAGGTAGTTCCAGGACAGGCTCCAGAGAAACCCTGTCTCAAAACAAAACAAAACAAAAAACTTGAGCCACCAGGCTTTGGTGGCTCATGCCTTTACTCACCAAACCATCTTGAAGACCCAAAACAAAAAACACATTTTTAAAAACTATTTTCGGGCAAGAGAGAAAGATGGCTCAGAGTTTAAGAACACTGGCTGTTCTACCCAACAACCACATGGTGGTTCACAACTATCTATAATGAGATCTGGTGCCCTCTTCCGGCTTGCATGCAAGCAGAACACTGCATACATTAAAAAAAAAAAAAAAAAAAAAAAAAAAAAAACCTGTTAAAAAAGATTTTCATTTTATTGCAATTCTGGGGATGAACCCAGGACCTCATTCATGCCAGGAAAGCACTCCAACATAGCTATTCCCTTGGCCCTAACAAGTGCAACTAAAACACAAATTTCCACATAGGAAATTATAGGAACAAAATAAAAGTTAACGTGTCACAGTGGAAAAATGTGAACCACTGTAAGTGTGACCCTCCATGCTCAGTGACTTTCTGCACTTAATGAAAAGATCAGCATGGCAGAAGAGTGCACAGGAGCCCAGACAGAACACCAAGGGGGTGTCAAGATTATTCCTGATAGAACTCTCAAATGGATGCCTCGAAACAGGAATTTCAGAAAAGACATGTCCGGGTAAAGGCACTTGCCAAGCAAGTGTGGTGACCTCAGTTTGATCCTGGGTCTGACACTGACACCACAAAGTTGTTCTTTGACCTCCACAATGCACTGTGGCACATGTGCCTGAGGCCATGACATAGATGAATATGGGCCCAGCATGTTTTTACACAATCATAAGCAAAGGCTTATCTCCATGAGTTATAGGTCAGCTTAGTCTACGCAGTAAGTTCCAGGACAGCCAGGAGTATGTAGAGAGATCCTGCCTCAAAAAAATAAAAATAGAAAAAGATGGAAGAGGAGGAAGAAAAACAAACTGCTAGGTGTGGCAGCCCACACCTTTAATCCCATCACTCAGAATGCAGAGACAGGTACATCTCTGTGGGTTCAAGGTCATCGTGTTCTACATAGAGAGTTTCAGGCCAGCTAAGGCTTCATAGTGAGATCCTGTCTCAAAATGTCAAAAAACAAATGAATTAATAGGAACAGGTCAGTGTTCCACACCATACAAGGACATACACAGCATACAATGTGTATCTCCACTATCACCTCTCACCAGGAGGCTAGTCCAGATGCAGATGTGCACTGTCCAATGTGCTCAGAAGAGGCTGAGACCCCAAAGCAGCTCACCCCAACTTTGGGCAAGTCTGGACACAATGTGTGTCCCTGAAACACAAACGTGTGCCTCTCCTTCCTTGTAATGGCCTGCCAATGGCCATCTACATTCTACATTGTGAGTGCATTCACAAACACAAACACACACACACAGAGTTTCTAGAAGACTCCAGGGCTGGCCCTGCCCCCTTTGCAGACCATCAAGAAGGAATAGGACTTTGTAACCTATGCTCTGAAACTCAGCACATCTTCTCAGTATGCTGATAGAAAATCAGCCCAAAGCACTCAGACAGCCCAAACCCAAGAGTACACACACCATCAAGTAGACACCATCAAGAAGGGGTTCATAGGCAGGGGTGAAGTATGGACCCTTGTGCTCCAGCTGCCTTCACTTCACACTGTTTTCGATCTTTTCTTCCCACCTGAAAAGACAGGAGAATGCCTAAGTGGAGCCCTGCTCTCCCCACACCAAGCCCCCTCAGCCTGTGGTTTACCTAGGAGGAAGGTGGTGCCTAAAGAGGTAAGGCAAAAGCTGACAGCTGGGATAATATTAAGTATATATTTTGCCTGGTTTGACAGGTCTTTTTGTTTGTTTGTTTGGTTGGTTGGTTGGTTGGTTTGTTGGTTGGTTGGTTGGTTTTTTGAGACAGGTTTTCTCTGTATAGCCTTGGCTGTTCTGGAACTCACTCTGTAGACCAGGCTGGCCTTGAACTCAGAGATCCTTCTGCCTCTGTCTGCCTTCCGAGAGAAGGGATTAAATGTGCCACCATCACCTAGCTGACATATTTTTTTTTTTTAAGAGCCTTTCTTGATGTTCCTGCAGTGAAGGAATCAGGTAGGGTAGAGCTACAGTGACTGAAAGTAAGGGTAGGTGGGGAAGTCAGGGGACAAGGGACAAGGGACCAGGTCCCGAACCACAAAGCAATGCCTGGTGTGACCTGAGAAAGAAAGGATCCAGACCAGGCTTCATAAGTACCAGGACCTCTGGCAAATTTGGATCCCTGAGAGGCATCCCATGAACAATGCAGAGAGTAAGGGAGAAGAGTGGTAGCCACTCTTCTTATCTTATGTGTCTAGGTGGTAACAGATTCTACTCTAGTCTGCTGTCAGCTGGCTCTAACATCTCCAGATCTGAAGATGGCAGGGTGCATTAGTTCTTCATAGCACAGGCTCAGTCAACATTTCCCTCCAGTATTCACCCAGTCATAACATGTGGACTAGACAGAGAGTGTCAAAGCTCATCACCAAAACTGCTAGGTGGAATCCACCACCATCTCCATTTCACAGACAAGGACATGGAAATAGAGGCTATAAACTCATTGTGGCATAGGTGCCATTCCCTTGTACTGTCAAAGTCAGAGTACCAAACAAGGCCATCAAAAGCAAGTTACCTGCAACCTAGCAGCTTCTCCAAGAGGACACAATTCTGTCCCATTGGGGCAGGCAGAATAGGCCTGTCTTTCCCTGGAATCCCCGGAGCCCAAGAACTTAACTCCCCCAGGAAGGGCTGAGCTACCAAAAGCATGTCAGCAGGCCTGCTGTAAAAGCTGACCCTGGAAGAGCAGTCTTCACTGTGAACCCCCACCCCACACCTGCGACCACACCAGATCACCCCCTCCTGAAGCGTTAAGTTAGCAACAAGCCCTCAACAGAGAGCTCTGGCTGGTGCTTCTGGGAACCTCGGTGCAGGAGGGCAAGAGACTCATCCCAGTCATAGAACGCAAGTGCAGGGCCTCTTCCTTGGTCCCCAGGAATTCCAGTAGGGTAAGCTGGTGACCTGGGGTAAGGACTGAAAGCTAATGCCACGTGCCAAAGAGCGTAAGAACCGTGAAGTGGGCTCAAGATCAACCAGGGAACCTGCGAACTACACTCCGAAGGGACTTCCTCCACCATACGCGGCAGCTCGGAGGCCCAGCCCAATCACATGGGTGACCGAATTCCCCAGCGTGTCTGGTGTGACCGGGAACAGAAGCAGGATTCTGTAAGCCTTTAACGAATGCTGAGCCCTGTCTCCCCTGAGTTCCTTCCCACCCGCCTTACCCTGCTCTGTTGGCCTTCGCGCTCCGGGACGCCTGGCGGCAGGTGACGCGGTGGGGAACATGCTTGAAATACCGGCGTAGGACTCTGGGCCATAACAGTAGCATGCGTGTGAGTGCGTGCGGGCTCCGCCGGCTTTCTGGGGGCCCCACCCTTCAGGCAGAGCCTCGCCCACACTCTTCCCGGAGTCCCGTCCAGCCCCTCCCTCTTTGAGACAGCTTCCCCAGCCTGAGCCAAGTACCTGCCATGGCATCCTGGAGAAGTGACTAGACCCACATGATCAGAGGCCCCTACCTAAGTGTTAAAACACCAAATGCCTGCACTTCCAGGAGGACGCAGTTGCAGGCACTAGCTGTCTAGTCCAAAGCAACTTCTCCTGGGTAAGGGGAAGTTCTGCAAAGATTGCTGTTGCTCTGGCCCGCTGCCAAGAGACCAGGGACATGAGCCATAGGTGCCTCCTTTTCCACACTCAGATCTGAAGGCATCTGTACCAAGAAGCAAAAACCTCCCAGCCAGCAGCCGGCTGGGCCCCAGTCAGCAGCAGGCAGCCCTGGTATTTCCCCTAAAGCAGCCATACAGGCCTGCAAGAAGCTGGTGAACTAACAGGAAAAGTGGAAATGAGGCAGAGATCCACAGGGAAGAGCAAGCTGACCCTGTTGGTCCGACCTGCAGCCATAACTTACTGGATTCTCACTGACATCTAGCGATAGGAGGCAGGAACAGAGGCGTGGAGGGACTAGTGGGCCTCCTGCTGGACACATCCAGCACTACAGAAAGTTGGCCAGATAGGATTAACAGACCAACCAGCAGGAGGCTCTGGGAAGTGCAACGGGCATTCCAGGTCTGTAACTGCCTTCTGGGACCCTTGTCTCCTTGACCAGCTGAGGTTTTCCAAGTCGGGGAGCATGGCTTCACAACGCTGAGGTCCTCACAGCAGATATGAGGAGCCCTGCTTTGTACAAGAGACCAGGCCTGAGAAAGCGTGGGTGGGCCTTGATGAATGCTGGAGCTGACAGTCAGACCTTCTGACCCCAAAGCCCACCATAAGGCTATTCTATGACACCAGTATCCATTCACAGGCCCGTAGCCCCCAGCAGAGAGAAGGGGCACTTGACTTCAACACATACCCAATACAATCATCTCACCATGGCTAATATACAGGACAGTTCATAATGG